AATCCAATTTTGTAATTATTTTTGCTTAAATTAAACTACAATCGTTTCATCAAATTCTGATGATTTAAGGATGAGATGATGTATCGTCTTGCTGTTGAACAACTTGGAATAAAGGATCTTCGATGAGGTCACAACAGAACGACAATTCTTTATGTTTTTGCCGAGCTTTCGACAATTATATCGTCATCATCAGGGCCTATTTATTTTAGGAAAATATCGCAGTTAGAACATGTTATACCATTTCAAAAAACAGTTATTTTTCTTACTTTAACTCGTTGAGTGTTGAAATATATCTTGAGTAAAAGAAACTGCATTTATAATAAGATTATTTAAAATTAAGTGAAGCTCAGTATTTAAACATTAACAGTATGGAATTAATTAAAAACAATAAAAACAGCATAATATAAAAAAATTTAGAAAAAACAACCTGGTCGTATAGGTTACCTCGGTTAAAATATAAATATAAGTACATGCCTCTTTTTTTTTTTTTAATAAAATTACTTTTTTTCTCAGGTACATTAGAATATCACAGTTAAGATTAATTAAGCTTTTTAATTGTTTTTATATTATGCTGTTTTTATTGTTTTTAATTAATTTCATACTGTTAATGTTTAGATACTGCGCCTCACCTAATTTTAAATAATCTTATAATAAATGTAGTTTCTTGTTCTCAAGATATATTTCAACACTCATCGAGTTAAAGTAAAAAAAAATTGTTTTTGTAATTTTTTTTAAAAATGATATAACATGTTCTAACTGCGATATTTTCCTAAAATAAATAGGCCCTGATGATGACGATATAATCGTCGAAAGCTCGGCAAAAACATAAAGAATTGTCGTTCTGTTGTGACCTTTCGAAGATTCTTTATTCCAAGTTGTTCAACAGCAAGACGATACATCATCTCATCTTTAAATCATCAGAATTTGCTGAAACAATTGTAGTTTAATTTAAACAAAAATAATTACAAAATTGGATTTTTTTGTTGTACAAAATTATTCTCCTTCATTAAAGGGTTAAATGAGGATGAACTTGCTTCTTCAAGTACGGCAATTAGCCGTTGATTAGTTTTGAACGGGCCTTCTATATATAAATCGTCTCGTAGTTTATTATTTGTAACTTGTGAAATGTTAGTATTTGTATTTTTACATTTCCTCTCTTGCGATATTTTCCTAAAATAAATAGGCTCTGATGATGACGATATAATCGTCGAAAGCTCGGCAAAAACTTAAAGAATTGTCGTTCTGTTGTGACCTCATCGAAGATCTTCTTTTCCAAGTCTGATGATTTAGGTAAAATAAATTTTTAATCAATGGAGTTCAATCGATTTTTAAAACATCGGTCTCTTCCATCAAAAGGGAAATTTTTCTTATAATTGTTTTCATGTTGTCCAACAAGCTTTGCGAATAAAAGTCGGATGGACGTTTAGCTGACCTGGAACTGGATGGAGTCGTGGGATCATTCTCCACATTTTCCAGTTCTTGAGGTCGTTTGCCGTGGATCTCTTTTTTTTAAACACGATCGCGGGATTTTCGAAGCATTTCAAAGGAGAAAAATTTTTAAATCAATCCCAAAACGACTCAAAGTCGCTACAATTTCGTAAACACTTGTTATGATTGTAGTTTAGATGTTGTTGCAATGATATAGGTGATACCAAAATAAATCAACTCCAGTTTCCGTTTATGATACATGATGATGATGGTGGTGACAACGACGACTACAAATCAGGTTTTGATATTCCACAAGCTATGCAGCCTTTTTTGTTTATTGTATTTTTGTATTATTTTTTTTAAATATTCATAGTAAATAAAAAGTAAAATGAGATTAACATTTTTGATTGATAATTTTACTGATTTTTTGATATTACCGGTTATTGATACGCATCCTTAGTTTCTGTTTTATTATAACCCGTCTTACCATAACCAATTTTTTTCAATCTATCAAATAATAATTTATTTATTATATATTAACTTAATTCTTCAACCGGTAATGAAAGTACTTGATCAGATTATAGGCGAGCAAAGGCTTTTAATTGCGAAATAAACGTTCGGCAGGGAGACTTGAACGCTGACTCGGCCGCTTGCACTGCTAGGGCTTGACTCATTTACAACACAATGACACGTTCAGACGTATCTGCAGTGTTGAGTTCCCATGCCTTGACATGTCACAACATTAACTTGTTTTAGCTACTAGACCTGGCAAATAAGTCGACTTTTTGTATTTCTTCTTATCACGTGTTCTTTCATAAACGTGTACAAAATCAATCAATTAAAGAGTATAAATTGGAGTTCGTCGATAAAACTATGGATGTTTTAGTTTGTTTAAAAGAAACAATGTACTTTAACGATTATTGTGAGCCATTTTTATCAAAATTGTTGATTTATAAAAATAAAATAAATATTATTATTATTAAACACGAGTGGTTTGTAAATATTGGGGTAGATAAAAAATGATCGTTTTGTCTGTGATGTGATACTTAAATGTCCACTAAACCTCAGGATGGTTAATTAAATAATTTTAATCTTATTTTGAAATTCTGATAGTGAAAGATGCTGAAAGCTGCCGAAAATTGTCGGCGGGTGAGAAGATACAAGTCCACACGGGATGGAATCCACAAGAAGAACGGCAGACTGATTCTGAGAAATAAGGCGGCAGACTGGAAACGAACCTGGTTACTTCCAATCAACCGGAAAGCGAGAAAAAGTTAAACAGGCGTGTGGATGAAAACGACAGGCCAGCTGTGTCGGCTACTGCCAACCCGCCCAGTCAGTGTGAAGTGTACAATGAAATTAGATTAAGTTCACTGTGCATGAAAACAGGTGCTAATTATCCATTAAAATCCACTGAAACCAATTTTTTGAGGTCAGGAACCAAAGATCGTGATTTCATAACTCCTTTCGATCTTAAGTTAAAATTTTTCAAATTTGGTAGTCATCCTGACTGAGTGGATGATAGTAAATGTCTATGTTGATGCAGATGTCATCAGACAGAGCACTCATTGGATAAGGAAGGAAACTGAACATCAGAAGGTTATGATTTTACAGATCTTTATTCAGATTCATGTAATAGTTAGAAAGAGTCTTTATGACCTTGCGCACCACGACCTAAATTGGTCTATTGTGCCATTGTTATTGCTATTGTCTTAGTTTGGTTTTTATCAGTTTCCAAAACTTAAGTTAAAGATTCCCGTATGCATTCGTTAGGCCATGGCGTATTCTCTTCTAGGATCCTCTTCATCAGCCTGCCTTCACACTAACAGAAACATGATCCGCAGTTTCTTCTTCTTTCTTGCAATACCTACAAAGGCTTGTTGTACTGTCTAGTCAGCAGTACTATCATAGGACTCCTACTACGTATGTATGTCCTAGATTTAATAATTTTGAAATTAACTTCTGTGATAGTCCTTTAATGAACTTTTTGGCATGCCTTTGTACTGGGATTAATCCCATTGAACCAAGGACTTATTTTTAACCATATTTAATGGATCCGCGTTTTTCGCAAGATGGTATACCTCAAGAGGTTTAAGGGCTGAGAGGTGAAATTTCCTTTACTAATTTATCGGCCTCCTCTTCCCTGTACGCAACTACACGGGAAACGAACCTGCTTGGTTCTAATCAACCGGAAAGTGAGAAAAAACCGGGCGTGTGGCTGAAACGACGGGACAGCTGTGTCTGGCACTTTCAACCTACACAGTCCGCGTGAACAGCAGAACGAATTGCACAATAAAAGTAGATTAACTGGTGCATTGTGACCACCATGAAAATTTGTACGTCCCTATACGCATCAAAATCCATTGTAAACCAAAATTTGTTTTTGTTTAAGGGTCAGAAACCCCGAGGATCACGATTTAACTACCAAATTCCGATTTAAGTTGAAGATTTTACAAATGTGATTATTAGCCACGCCAAGAATGTCTTGCGGTGTGGTTGACACAGATAGTCATGATATCAATTTGAAATGTTATTATTGCACAACACGCTGGGTAACATGACAGTTGATGTGACTAAAAAAATTCTTCTTTTCATTTTAATCTTCAATCTAAAACACTGGATTTAATGCCAGCTTTCGACTTAAACTCGATGTTTATACATTTTATAGCTTTATTATCTTTAATTATACTGATCAGATCACGTTTCATTTGTCTCCGCTTCAATGAAGGAGAATAAATTGAGGTTAAATGGGCCGGTATAGTAGGTGTAGAATAACCGGATGGAGGTTAGATTTCTGATATAGAATGATATTTCATTCACTTGTCTCAATAGGTTTGAATGTAGTAAATCAAAATTGTTCACCTTCTTATTGATTTATTATAGTTTCAAAGTCCTGATGAAAGAGATATATTTATCGAAAGCTCGACGGCGAAAGTAATAATAAGGGATTTCATGTTTGTTGGATGCGTTTCGATTTTCGCATCTTTTGTATCATTCTTCATAAATCCTTTGCATGTAGGAAATATTCATAAAAGACAGGATTGCTTAGAAGACATTGCCAAATCCCTGGAAATGGTGATAGACAAAACAGCGAGAATAGGCCGACTAGAATGACTGGAGGGGATCAAACTGTTTCTATGATTATTAAAATTATTCATAAATTGCCGTTTCTTAAGCAAGTATTTACAATTGTAATTACAATTAACAATTGTAAAGTTGATAATTAATTACTGATGAATATAAACTTCATGATCCCAGATGAAGGCCTCTCTGGGAGAAATTGCATTGTGCATATGATAATATTTATCACTTTCGACTATGAGGTTGTTTCACATAGCTTGCAAAGTTAACAGAGAAAGGGAGAGACGTTCATATTCTTTAAAAAAGCATTTGTAGCTATCAGAATGGATAAATTCAAGATCTCTCCATGAGGTTGTGGAGTTTTAAGAAACGATGTATACTTTTTGCTAGTCGTTTAAATTTTTAAAAAGGTCATTTTGTACCCACCCCAATATTTAAAGTAAGTAGTTAAATAAGATTAAAATCAACCAGTAAAATTTAAAAGAACTCACTGCTTCCTTGTATTCTGCCTTTAAAAGTCCTGTACTCACCTGTAATATAAAATAAAAATTATTATTTAAAGTTATAAAAAAGTGTATAAATCGTTAACGATTTATGCGACACGGATCTATAACGGCCGTCACAAATCATGAAGATATCAGGGTTCAATTTTTACAACACTCTTATTAGAGGTCGTGAATTTTTCTTTTTATGTTTTGCTAATTGCCCGGAAAGGTGGTTATGCGGCCGGCCTGGATCGTTAAGTGATCTCTATGACCCTTCTGCGGTGGACGTGGCTCATGTTCTGCCGCCGCCGAAATAGCCCTGGTTTATCTTTGTAACGGACTCCTCGATTTAACCGAATGCCGACGAGTACCAGTACTTTTTCTTCCCTGTCAATTACAAATGCCCGGTAGGTTGAGACCCGCGCTGTACGCCTATCTGTGCTCGTCCTAATCAGAAAGGAAGAGCGTTAATTTTTTCAACGGCTTCATTTCCAGCCCCGACCATCCGATCATGTGAGCAGATCTGCACCATTTCGATAATAAATTAATGACTTAAGATCTGAAAATATTATTTCTACACAACTTCGCGTCTGGATACATCCCCCACCATACCATGCGGATGCGAAAACAAATCCATTGGATGAACAGGACAAAACATAAAAGACAGATACAAAGAACATATAACAACAATATAAGGTCTAGAGACCATCAGACTACGCGACTCACTTCACAGAAAACCATCAACGAACACAACTTGAAATTAATACACGACGTACAAAAAGGACGAAAAATGAACATACTTGAAAATGTGAAAATACAACAATCCTAAGACATTTAACACTAAAAAACCTCAGAAATACACAAATTAACAATCATTTACATTGAAAATAAAAATAAATAAATTAAAAAACCGCCAACACACTTTACTCACCCTTCAAAACCTTTTAAATGAGACTTGACCACAGAGTTGCTAAAACGCATCTGAAATACCTAAGGATAATCTTTGATAAGAAATTAACCTGTAACACTCACACATTATAACAAAAAGTAAAATATTAGAACTATAGGAAATCTTGGGGACTAAAACCGAAAATGCCCCGTTGGCTTTCGGCAGTGGTAAGACCCCCAAATTATCCTAGGGCTCACTAATCTGGTGCCCAAAGTTCAGCAACCAAGCTACCCAAACATTACGCACACACAAAGTCTGGCCTATCAATTATATCACAAGGGCAATGAAAACAACCCCTCAGTTGCACTAGAAACTCTGCTAAACCTACCTATTGGAAAATGTCCATATGATTAAATCACAATCAACAAAATCAGACACCCATTCTTAGAAATCGGGACTGAATACATGATCCCAGAAAAACTCTTTACGACATCCTATAACGTCTCAAGAGACTACAAAGGAGAAGAAGGATTCAGGAGAATCATCAGATACAATGATATGGTATACAGATGGCTTCAAAACTCATGAAGGAACCAGGTCAAGCGTTTTTATGTACAAGCTCAAAACATGAATCAAACTCAAGTATGCCTCTGACTTTCAAGCTGAAATACATACCATCAACTATTGTCCCTTGGAAAGTCTTAAAAGAGGTTACACTGTTTAAAAAAATCCTCATAAGATCGGATATCCAAGTAGCTATTAAAGCATTTAGTATGTCAAAAATTACATCAAAATTAGTCAGTTAATGCATCCAAATTCTCCAAAACCTGGGAAAACATAACAACCTGATGATATTTTGGGTACCAGGACACAATTTTGGGTAAGGAAAAAGGACAGACACACTGGTCAGGGGAAGATCTGCAATACTACAAATAAGCCCTGAACCTATTCGTACGTTACTAAAAACAAAGAGATTCCTCCATCAAAGAATGGAACCAAAAAGGCAAAATGGGTAGTGGATAAGCTCTAGGGGCCCTAGACACAGTAAACTTATACTAAAAAAACAACCATCACCAACACTAGCACTCAAGACTCCCTGCTAAGTAAAAAGCTAAAGTAAAACCCAGAGGAGTGATAAACTATTTACCGGTCACTGGATCTTTAAAAAAACATGGGCATATTCAATGATGATCCCATTTGTATATTATACAATGAGGAGGAAGAAACACCGGCCTATATCATCTTCAATGGAGGCATAATCTGGGATAGATAGGAACCCAGGGAAAGTAATTGTACCAACGACAATCAATGACCTAGTATTCTTTCAAAGAAGGATCAAATCGACAGACTGAACTAAAGAAACAGGAAACTACGATAAGCCGGAAGGCTGCAGTGCTTGGGGAACATACCCCCCACTTTCTTGTCTCCTTTCATGATCATCATCGTCATCAACACTGCAGATGGCCAAATGCTGAAATTCCTCCAACAGACAAGAAAGCAAGGATAGACAGATCCTGATCTGCAACGACTAACCTACAGAAAATAAAACTTAATATACTACATTTCTAAAACACCGTAAACAAATATAAAATTTACTATTTCCCGCCATTTTATTCCATTACATGGTCATACAATGAAAAAGAACGAAGTTGTCACGTTGACCGGAAATGCTTCCAAAAATATGTGAAAATATAGAAAATGGCAATGTTTCGTTACGTAAAAGCCTCCAGTGTCTTTCTAGCAAAACAACCCCGCCCTCTCGGATACTAATTCTGCACAGAGGCATACACGTGTTTCGATTGTCGGGGGTCGCTCACCTGCAATGATGTTTTATTATTAGAAGCCGAGTACTGTCGGCCAACTCATCATACGCACACCGAGAATATTTTAACAAAAAAGATATGTTTTTGTATGTACCTATGAATTTATTATTATCCTACATGTATTTGTTAAATTTAAATAATTTTTGTAAATCCCAGGCCCTGAAGATGATCTCAATAAAGATCGAAACGTTGGCACGATTAAGAAAATGTTTTTCTGAAACCAACATCATACCAGATCGCATCTTACGATTTCCGAATAATATTGTTTAATTTCACAAAATGATCATTGCACTTTGACCGTTTTCTATCACCCCAATCAGTATAAACTAGCTGGTTATGGCCTGTCGGACACAGTTTAACATTTCGATATCTTCTGACTGACAAAACATCACAGTACAGATTTCCCCCTTAAGTCCATCAACTTTCTTCTGTTGAGTCCGATCTATGCTAATGATTTTCCTGGAAGATTTTCGTATTTCTAGTGAATTACGGAATTCAAGTGGTATGGTATTGAGGTCTATAGGCTTTTCTAGTTGCTCCAGCCTTTCCTAGCTAGGCGTTTGCAAAGGATATGGTTTGTTGTATCTGTCTCCCCTAAACAAAACAAGGAAGGATAGGCAGACCCAAGACCTCAACAATTAACCTCACAAAATTCTTAATACTTTTCCAAATGTTATCTCTGGCCTACTGATTTGATGACAGGATAAAACTTTTTTTTATTAAAAATCACGGACGAAATATGATTTTGCCACACGATCGGAAGTGCAGCTGTCTGCGAGGACATTTTGCAATGAATATTGTATAGATCATGTTCAAAATTGTCATTTCCATTTAAATCATGCCTTTTTCTCTTGTTACTCCACTTTCTATTTGCATATTCACAAACGATCGACAGATCTCGCACATTGATCATGTTGGCCCCAGGCATTTGCATAATTCAATATTATTACGGTTCAAAGGTCTTGTTAGTAAATTGAATTTTGATAGTTAATTGTGTGTTTTGTATACGTCATGGTGTGCATTTGTAAGCGGTGAAGTTTAAAGACAAGTTGGTCCGCATCTGTCTGGTTAAGTTTGTCAGAGGATTCTGGTGGTAGTGGTACTTTCTTGTAGGATTGGATACCTTCCAACAAATTGGTCACAAGATAAATTAAGCTGTATTATTTGAAGAAGAATCTGGTGACCAATTTGTTGGAAGGTATCCAATCCTACAAGAAAGTACCACTACCACCAGAAGCCTCTGACAAACTTAACCAGTCAGATGCGGACCAGGTTGATGGAAAACAACCAAATGTTTATAATATCAGCGAAACATTGTAAAGAATTTTCAGTTGTTTAGGAAGAAATAAAACTTATTTGTCCCTTCTTGTTCAAGATGCTCCAACCCAAGTAATTCCTTAAAATATTTAATTCAGTACCGTTATAGTAATACTCCGTGAACATTTGAACAGTTCAGAGATGTTTATTATACGGATAAGGATGTGTATATATTCCACGATATTAACCGACCTCCATAATAAAAGAAGGCAAATGAAAACCAATGTCCAACTAATCCCCTGGTCGATAATTCCTGATTTTGTCCAACTCACGACTCAGTAATTTATTTACGTTTATGAGCTGGAAAGAAATTCAGGATGACATAAAAATTCGGTGGTTGTAAAAATGCAGTCTCGATGTGTGGTCGGATTGACCCAGGCGAGCCCACGGGCTTTCCCTCCGCCTAATAAGGTCCACGGGAGAAAAAACTGCATAATAACGCCATAATAACGTTTTTAAACATTTTACAGGAAATCTCGTTTCAAAAAGGATTTTCGCGTATAAACTAAAAACTTGGAAAAAGGATTTATCGTTATAGACAATTATTTTAATTGTGCCCTGCACTTCTTCCTATTTAATCCCACACTATTTTTTTTAAAATATAATTTGTTTTTAATTTTTGTTCAGCCTTTTACTTTTGTTTTATAGACCCTTTAAACCCTAGAAGAGAAATGTTTTACTTTAATAGGAGATCGGTATTGACGTAAAGAGCAGTAGGCCCTTCTAATTTTAGTCCTCTTGGCTATTAGCAAAGAATAAATTTAGAATTGGAGTTTCAACTTTAATCCTATAACCAAAGACAATGCAAATAAATCCAATACATTGAAATAGTTCGGATTGATGAAGATTAATAGGTAATATAAGCCCTAACGTGTGTTTTTGTTATTTTTTGTTCTACCCTGGTCATATTTTTGCAAATTTATTTTCTTTTCTATTTATTTATAATTAAGTGTATAAAAGGCCAACGATGAAATGGAGTATTATGGCTACATAAATCTGAGAAAGGTTAAATTTTC